ACACAAATACAGAAAACAGCCTTTGAATAGCTGTTCACTGTAGTGACCACTATGTGTGAAAGGGTTACAGGCCTGGACTGGTAGTCTTGCATATTGTGCATTTCCCCTATTGGGCTGGCGAGCCTGTGGACTAATAGTTGAATGTAATTTATTTCTTTGTCGATATAATTTTACGGGCCAGTCCATCCGTGCCCGAATAGACTGTTACAATAGATCATAGAAAATAAAAATGATCTACACAAAAAATTATGTTTGAAGGCAAAACGACTGGAATGAATTAAAACACTGATCCATGACCAAGAAATATTCTTGATTTTATAATAAATTCACAAAATGAACTAAATTTTAATTTATATTCATTACCCTCATTGAGAACTGCAACCATCAGTAAAAAGGAACCTACTGAAGGAACACTCATTAGCTATTTCTATAGTCTTAAAATTATTTGTACCCAACATTTAAAACATTTAATTGCTCCATATTCTTGATATTAAAAATACGTTATTATTGACCAACATAATAGCCGGCTCCTCACAGCTTTTAAATATCATGATTTCAAATAAAGTTTTGATTATTATATTAATGTGAGGTTTGCAAGCAATTTGTTATAATTCTTGGCTTGTCCGTATTTTTCAGTCCATATTCATAAATGAATTTATGAAAATCTTTGTTTTCTTACCAGCTCCGTTCAACAACTAGACAATACCAAAGTGGATGTCATGGCCAACAGCTCAGCATCACAACTACAGCTCTTGCTAACAAAAGATGCTGCTGTAAATGGGTCTAGTGATGACAAACATGGAGTCGTGGCATTAAACCCAGAGCTGCAGGTGGCAAAACGTTCGAAGGCAAAAGAGCTCCAAAGTAGTTCGGAGACAATTCAGACAAGTACAATAGCCTGTAAAGTGTGTGGACTCCAGGGAAACCAGGACAACTTGATTCAACATGCATGGAGTCACGTGGATGAGTCACCGGCTGTTTGTGGAATTTGTGGAGAGCGTTTTGAATCAGTGGAAACATTAAAGGGACATCTTACAAATGACCCAAAATATCACAACTCTAATAACCAAATGTCTCTGCAAACAGAGGCGAAACAATACAAATGTGAAACTTGTGCTAAATCATTTGGTCTAAAGGAGCAGCTGGAAATTCATTGCAAGGAGCACGCTGGCCTACAGAAATACCACTGCAACATCTGCGGGAAAGCTCTCTCCCATCTTCGATCAATGAGACGGCACAAGCTGACTCACACAGTGGAGCGACCCCACAGTTGTGAAGTTTGCGGGAAGCATTTCAGATGCCCGCACGTTTTAAATTCTCACAAGAAAATCCACACGGTCAGGGAGCGGCCGTATCTCTGCCACATCTGCTGCAAAAGCTTCATGTCAAACAGCGTTCTGTCGACTCACATGAAGATTCACAGCAATGAGAGGCCACACATCTGCTTGGTGTGCAAAAAGGCTTTTATTTATAAAGGTAGTCTAAAGGCTCACATGCGAATGCACACCGGCGAGAAACCGTACAGCTGTTCCCAGTGCGGCCGCTCCTTCAAGCACAAGTGTCACCTGAACGACCATGTCAGGAGCCATTCAGGCATCAAACAGTTTGTGTGCAGCATTTGTGGGAGAGCGTGCTCTCGCCAAACTCAGCTGAAGACCCACATGAGGACCCATAATGGAGAGAAACCGTACCAGTGCGACATCTGCAAGAGGTCCTTCTCGCACCG